ACGATGAATGTTTTAATATTAGGTAAAATTACAGTAACTTGGTTTTCGATGAAGAACCATTTCTCAGAGTTGAACCTACAGACAATAATATGTAAAATTTAACTTCCACTACTTCAACTAGTTTGTCCCGTAAACACGTTTTGGAACGGGTCAATCTGTGTGAATCAGTTTTATGGCAATACACTGTGTCAACTCGATATTCAAAATTTAACTTCCAGTACATCTTGAACCAAGTTAGGAAAGCTTCGTTTAGGTTGAAAATGCAGTATTTTCTATTATTTTTAAACTTTCAGTGTGAAGAAAGCATTTTCGAACATTGTACCACGAAGAAAAAACATTGAAAAATTAATTTTACATACCTTTGTGTCTACGTTGAACTGTCAGAAATGCTTTCTTCAATGGACAATAATCCTAATTACACTAATCTATTTAAACTTCTTGAAGTCAATTCGCTAATTAATCAGAACACAACGAACAACCTATATTTTAAGTTGTGTATTCCTGTGGTATAGTGACATACCGAGAAGATTATTAACCTTTACATACAGAGTTCGAATCTGTGCACCAACTTCTTCATTTTTGTTTTTTCATTTTATATATATAGCTCCGTATGGACTTAAAATTCTGAGTTTGAGTTCAGTCCGTACGGAGCTCTGATATATACTTTCGGTATGACCTAAGCAGCATAATCAAGAACGTTTGTTTCAAGTTTAGTATGTCATAATGGCTTTCATACAAGTCGCCCATGGTTTTATTGTTATATTTACTATCGAATAACCGCCGTCTGTTCCTGTCACTTCGAGCCAATAAGACACATCGTACACTGCTCCTATTGTTACATTAAATGTTTGACTTATGAAATCGGCGGCATACGATTCTCCACCAGTATAAGAATACGCTCCAGTATAATAATCCATAGTTGTCGCCGTACCAGTGTATGATGCTGCATAAGGGTCTGTGTAATCCCATCCTGTTATGTCACCTGTCTCGAACCCGCCGTTGACGATTAAATTTGTCGTGTTGCCGATCTCGTTAACACTAACATCGTCGAGGAACCAGTAATCTACATCATTACGAAATGATAACATTAACATCACAGGTGTGTTAAAGGCCGCATACGAGTAAGAGAAGGAGGTCCATGGTGTAGGATCTGGATTTTTAACAAGGTGCAATTGAGTAGTACAGACGAGATATGTGCATAGAGCACACAATGTACCGTCCCAATAGTAACGTGTCGAATTACAGACACAAGTGCTACTGTTAATCGAACAAATTAGCGTTAAATCGCCACGACATTGAATATCGAGTTGACACAGTGTATTGCCATAAAACTGATTCACACAGATTGACCCGTTCCAAAATGTGTTTACGGGACAAACTAGTCTGGCTCCTATGCAGACCAAATAACGATTTATAGCTGTGGAACACGTCTGATTATAATTGAAAAACTGTGCTGATTCATAGACAAGCCTACCGACGATTGAGCTTTGTGATAAAGGCGAAGAAACGACCACTGAACCTGTCGTGATATAACCTTCATATAAACTGCAGTTTAATGTCAACAAATCAAAGCCAAATGTGCGACATTGTACATTTTTATTACAGTAAGCGCAACAGTGCAAAACTGATTTGATACCAGAAATCGAGCCCAGCTGTTCAATTGGATTGGATGGTTGAAATTTCAGCCCAGCTGCAGTCAATTTGACAGTCGCTCGATAATTCTGACATAGCATCAATCCAGCAATATTCAATATGATTAGAAAAAACATTTTTAGTTTCTCTGAACAAATCTATTCTGAAACTAAATAAATTTTCTTTTGATGCCTTTCTTATATGTTTAATATGTTTGAAAATGAAGTGGATGAGTGACACTGTGTGAACAGGAGTTATATACCCTTTTCTCTTACTCAAAAATAGGTTTTCTTAAAAGAAAAAGGAAATGTTTGAATATAGTTTCATCCTAGGCATGACAAACCAGATTAGCACTTTAGAAGTTGAAAATTTACACAATTTGCACAAGTGATAAAAGTATATATTTTGTGAAACTACTTTACGTCACAAGCAGTTTACAGGAGACATTCTAATGGAAGTTTGGTAAACAGAATTATAAACTAAGGATCTGAAAATGGGGATTCACCGACTATTCTGCAAATGGCTCTGTCGTGTACATTTTCCACGACCGATTCTTCCGCGAGTTTTTGGAAATAGATGCTAAGCAAACTAAAGTTTAGAAACTAATCAAAACCATGAGTGTTACTGAATATACTCGAGAAAAATGTTTGAATATAGTTTCATCCTAGTACTGACAAATCAGATTAGCACTTTAAATGTTGAAGAAAATTTACACAATTTGCACAAGTGACAAAAGTATATATTTTGTGAAACTACTTTTCGAGTTCATCCACAGACTGCGCTCACCGCCTTTTCTTTTGCCTATTCTAGGTATGCACCGGTATCGGTATTTATACCGAAATACCGATACCGAAAATACCGAACTTCGGTATATACCGATACCGAAAATATTGAACTTCGATATATACCGATACTGAAAATACCGACTTTTTTTACTTAGAATGTTTTGGATTTTTTCATTTGAAATGTGATGTTTTAGCGTCCTGGACACCCAGAATGAATCAGGGATGGAAAACAAGAGCTTTGTTTGCTTTCTAAAGCCAAAGTTTTTCTTTTCTTTCTATCTGAACATGCTCAAAATACACAGCTGAGTGTTGTTTATACGTTCTGCT